CTGCATTTCGCGCACTCGACACGCACGATCTCCGCAGAGGGTTGCGCGCACTCGACACGCACGATCTCCGCAGAGGGTTGCGCGCGGACCGGACAAATCGCACTCTCGCCTGCATTTCGCGCACTCGACACGCACGATCTCCGCAGAGGGTTGCGCGCACAGCCAGCAAATCGCACTCTCGCCTGCATTTCGCGCACTCGACACACACGATCTCCGCAGAGGGTTGCGCGCACACCCGGCAAATCGCACTCTCGCCTGCATTTCGCGCACTCGACACGCACGATCTCCGCAGAGGGTTGCACTTTCGGTTGACGCTGTTCGTCCCGCCATCCGCCTTGAAAAGAGAATTTATAAAGTGGGGAAATGTTTTTTCATTAGGACATCTCCCGTGCTAGTTTGCCAATACTCACACTTGCCTACTCATTGCATGCTTGCATGCTCATTGTTGCATGCTTGCATTTTCCAATACTCACACTTGCCTACTCATTGCATGCTTGCATGCTCATTGTTGCATGCTTGCATGCTCATTGTTGCATGCTTGCATGCTCATTGCACGCTTGCGTACCCATACTTACACTGCGTGCTTGCCGAGTGTCCGTGTGTATGTGTAAGTGTCAGTGTCGAAGTGTCCGTGTATGTAGTGCGAATGTGGTGGAAGTGTCAGTGTGCAAGCGTAAGTGTCGAAGTGTCAGTGTTCAAGGGATTTTCCGGAAGAACCCTTCGCAATGCTTTCGGGAAAAAGTGATTTTTCTGGGCACCAGTTTGGGGTCCAAAAACCACAGCAAAAACCGGTCTCGCCACAGAGGGCCTCCCCAGTTCAAGAATATGTGCGGACATACATGTTTGCAGGGCATGGCGAACAATTGCTCGCGGCGCTGTAAAACCATGGAAACCCAGCGGTATGCAAAACCTCTGTCGCGTACCCGCGGAAACAATCGAAACTTGCACTATTTTTCGCCCGGCGGCAAAATTTTGCCGACAAAACGACCCCCGTTTTGGGGTCCAAAAACGGACCCAAAACGGGGGCCAAGTCGCCCGGACACAAGCAAATCAAATTGAGACTGAGTGAATGGACTCCATTTTGGGGTCCGTTTTTGGACCCCAAAACGGGGCCGTTTTGTCGGCAAAATTGTTGTCACCGAGCGAAAAAAAAAACACAAGTTTCGATTGCTTCTTCATGTACGCGACAAAAGTGTCCCATACCGCTGGGTTTCCATGGTTCTGCAGCGCCGCGAGTACTTGTTCTCCACACCCTGCGAACATTTATGTCCACACATGTTCTTGAACTGTATATATATATATATATTGTGTTTATATATATATAAGCACACTCTGCAAACGGGCAAAACAAGTCTCGACACATAATTAGACCCTGCGGTTGAACTGAGTTTTTATCCGCAGCCCGCTTGCGTGTTGACAAAGCACTCGCTTTTTTGGTGGCCACATCTACTACTTGGTGTAAGTGTGGACTACAACTTTCGAGAGTATCCTGCCTTTCCATTCTGATGAGAGAAACTCCAAAATTGCTGCTGGCCTATTAATCCGAGAAATCGTATCCCATGGAAATTGATAGAAATTTGAAAACCCCAGGGAAGATATCTAGCCAAAGATGGCAACTTCTGAATGCAATATTCAGTGAACGCTTAAACAACGTTAACTCTGACGTAGCTCACACAAGAAGCCCTTTACGCATGTCGCCAAGATAGGTCCAAAATTGCAAAACTTGCAATAGGCCGCAAGCCTTCTACAAGCAGCCTATGCAGTCCAACACCCCTCAACAAAACGAACACGCTCTACGCTCGGTTCATGTTTAAGGTGATGCTGCGACCATTGGCCCAAGCTGAGATCTGTGGTCATAAAAGCTGGGGGTGTGCACGGTGTAGGATTTCTCCAGGTCAAGAATGTAGAAGATGATCTGGTCCTTCCACGTAAAAAGGGAGTTTCTTGTGGCATTGACTGAATTCAATGATTGGGTAAGACGATGCCCAAAAGGCTGACTGATCAACAGCACATGATCTTTTCAGTCATCCAAGCTTGTTGGAATGGAACTCAGCCGGACTGCATTTGTCAGCCAATCGCCTTGTGAGATGATGTAGTAAGGAAAATTTGAAGATTGCTGTTGGTACCATTTGCACATGCTCGAAAAAGGAACAAAGTAATTGATCGGTGTTGAAATCACCGCCCGCAAATCCTCCATGTTGCAAAATGCGTTGGAGCCGTAAAGACCTGCCTCGGCAACCAGTTGCTAACAGTGGTGGTGACTCTGGATTGAACGGACACAGCAAGCAGAATCTCGAAAATGCTGTAATACACGTCCTCATGTTATGCATTGCCGTCTTCCCGCGCGCCCACCTGCATGCATTGGCAAAGGTCCATGTATGAAAAGCGATCAGCGGCAGGCTTTGCACGAAGTCCTATGTACAACCTTGGTTGCGGCAGATCTTTGCGGTATTGACCCGCAGCACAGCTCACGCGCTCATCAATTCAGCCTTTGCAAACACCAAAGCAAACAAGGAGTTCATGAAGGCTTCTGTAGCTCTATCTTGCAAGCATCAATCCAAGCCCTTTTTGCTCCCTCTCTGACATGCTCACAAGATCCACATTCCCGCATTAAACAAACATTGATGATGCTTACAAAAAGAGATAATGTCTTCCCGGTGTGTGTGTGTGTGTCTCTTAAAAGAGAGAAAACCATCCAAAACACTAGACTTAGACAGCAAACTCCAAATGTATTGGAAGAATCTCAAAGCAGTGGCAGGCAGTGAGCGCAAACTATGTATTCGCAAGAAGGACAGCGACAAGCAACACAATCAAAGGACTTGGTTTCTCAACCAACCCCTTCTTTAGTGCAGTCGGATCACACCTCCAACAGGTCGTCTGCTGCATGGCGCGCAGCATTGTGAACCTTGCACTCCATTTGGGTTGTGGTGCTTGGGAAAGCCGGAAAGAGTATGAGAGAGTTACCATGCCCTGAGTCCTGCCGGGCCTTGAGCAGTTTCCATTGGGCTGTTGGACTGTACCTGTATCTTACCACCTTGCCTTGACTGCAAACCATTGAATTGGCCTGTCCTCTTGCAAAGACATCCATGAATTTCAGGCAAGTGGAGTGCCCAAAAATGGACAGTCCCCCATTGAAAGTTTGCTGCAGGGCGAGCGTGCCCACTAGACCGGTAGTATTGCAACACCAAAAACGTTGCGACTCAAGTTTTCCACACAGCATTCTCCAAAACCAACTTTTTGGATGAAATTACCTGTGCCTCTCGGAGAGCTTCACGCAGCCGGAGTGGCGGGCGGGTATCCTGGCTGCTCAGCTAGTATTTCTTGGGTTGTCAGAATCTACAGAGGCCACACACTTGGAACATCAACACCTGGGCCCTTTTCAGTATGTTGACCCTGCGGGAAAAAAAGACAAAAGAATTTATTGCTTCTTTGGTATGTCTCGGTGTGTGGTCTTGGTAGTCAGCTTTCTTGGTATATTTTTTCCATCTGCCAATTGCTCTTGTAGGAGTTTGATTCATGTCACTGGGCCCGCTAGTCCGACAGTGAACAACACAAAGATTGAATAAGTTTGATAGGGAAATTTATCATTTACAAATGCAGCTTGCTAAACCCCCGACCTACCTTTCTTCTATACGGGCGCACAATTGCCGTTGAACTAGAGTTTTGCAGGGAGCCCTGTGGAACAAAGTGACACCTGAACTCTGACAAGGCCAGATGCTGCCGCGCCTTTCTGTCAGGAACCCTGGTGGTTGACTAGAAGGCAGTGCGGTGTTGCGTGAACTAAGATTAAGCATTAATGGGGATCGTGCAGTACCCTCTTTTGTTGTGTTTTCTTTAAGTTGGCTGCGTGTCGGTCCTAAGCCGAAGCTCCACTAGTTACAAAATGAGGAGTTGGGTGACTGTCATCTTTTGCGGGAATGGCTTTCCAAAGGATGACCTTCGATCTGCGCCACGCATACAAAGTCTGTGTGCGGCCGGCGCTTGCCATATCACCAGATCATTCAAGGCAAAATACCAATCTGAAATCTGAAGCATGTCCTCAAGCCAGCTTGCACGGCTGAGACAAGACATTTCAGGAGGTCGTTGGTAATTTATTCATCAGAATCCATGAAAAACTGACTTTGACAAGATCCATCGTTGATGAACCCCACTTTTGTTATGGCCAGTTCGCTTTTCGCACCCAAAGGCCCCTCAGCAGGCTCATGGAATGTGACAGCTTTTGCGCCCATGGTCTACGGCAGAAGTTATATAAAGGTAGAACAACGAGCTTGCGCGACTGAGAACGTGCGTTGAGCGTGTGTGAGCCTGGTTTTCCATGTTTGCCCTTTTCAAGTCTCAAGCGATCGCCATCTCCTGTGGTACACGTCGAATGTTCTGAGTTACTCCAAAGCTTGGTAGCACTATTGCAAGCACAACCTGTGCAGACAGCGCGACAACTCCTTTGTTAAACCAGTAAGCCTTTCAAGGCCTGCTTTGCTTTCCGTTGGGCTACGACTTACACCAGAATCTGGCTGGTTAGACTGCTGTAGGAAACAGCCCCCAAAAGACTTGAATAGCGCTGTTTGGTGTTCATTGGGCAGATTGGCTTGAAGGACCTATATAACTGTTCGCCGTGACACATTACCGTGGAATCACTTGAATCCCGTTTGGCGCAGTGTGTAGATACTGGTTGTACTGAATATACTAAGTATAGTTGAAAATAGACGGCGCATGCAAAATTATAAGGTTGCACATTTTGGCAAATTAAACACCTCCACATCAGAAGGCGCAAAGCGATGCAAAAGAAGGCCTGGCTCCAGCTCTGAAATGGTGCGCACTGCAAGTGCAAGTGTCAGAAGATGGCATGGGGACTGTGGGATGGAGGTGGGAAGACAGAGCAAGGTAGAGGAGAGAAAATGGGTGGGGAAAAGCCTTAAAAACCGTTAACAGTATGTAGTATAAGGCACATCATCTCCGAATTCAGAGTTTCTTTGTTTTGGTAGTTGCAGCTGTCTCATTCTTTTTGCATTGCTGCAGTTGCAACACATACATATATATATATGTCCTGTAATATATTGCAGCAGTAGTAATGTGTCTATAGGTGTCCCATCATTGCACTTTGCATTTTTCATCCCCATTGGTGTCCACTGGTCACTGGACTTCAAATTTTCCCACAGACTCCAGCCAAAGGCAACCCAGCAAAATCCCTTTCCCCATCTACCGGCCCCTCGGTCTCCATTGCTTTCATCAAGCCTGTTTACAGTATTTTTCGCCAGCTACTTGTGATTTTTTCGTATGTTTCCCATTCATATTTGATAGATTTCCCGGCAAAAATTTCTTGTAGAACAAGAAAACAAGTGTGCTTTCCTCAACCCATGTCCATTCCAGATTTTCATAAAGCGCAGCACAGCCGGCACCCTGTACCTGGCGTCAGGCACGAAAGCGCAATAAAGTTTTTGGAATGTTTGAGGCCGAAAAAATATCTGAAAGATTTTGACAATTAACGCTTTTGCAGCCTGAGAAGGACTCCTGTCAACCCTTCCAATGATTCCCCTGACATGGCCGGCGGCCAAGCGCCCATGGTCTGCTAAACAAACGCGGACTGCATGGAAGCGTTCAAAGAGAATCGATCTTCTCACACGGTTTGGACTTGAAACCGGCTCATCAAAACGCAAGCCTGCCAGGTCATGAGAGGATCATGGAAGCCTTGATCTCGAAGGTATTGTTCAGCAGCGCAGATGGACAAAGTGGTGGACGAAGCATGTGCCATCATGCAGTAAGCAATCCAGGAGAAAGATCAGGCATTGACATTTACTTGGACTAGACAGCATCGGTGCAAATACAACGTTTACATTTTTTCAGAGAATACCTCATGCACCTAGCCTGCCAATCCGAAACCTGCATGCCTGGCTCAAATCAATATCTACGTGCGCAAGGGACATTGGACTGCTCAGTATGTGTGTATATACATAAATATGTATATATATATATATTCCACACATGGCAGCTTCAGGTATCGTTGACCCGAGCAGGACTTTCGGCGCGAGCGATCAGAAAAGCCCGAGCGTTCCCTTCAGGAGAAGGAGTTCATTCCGTGGACTCCGTTTCTTCTCAGGAGACACCGAAGATGGTCGAGAACACAAGCGTTGGAAGCAGCCTCCTTAGACAAGTTGACTGAAGCAAAGGCATACATCTACACCGTTGACTGAAGCAAGGCATACATCTACACCTCTCTGGAAAAGCGCTGGAAGATGTGGAACACCTTGATCCTGAATCCTACCAAAAGAAAGGTGGGATGATGTCAGTTGGCAACTGTTGGACAAGCGATCAGGGATTCTGACAAGGGTATTTAGCCTCAAATCCTCTTGTTGATGATCCGTGTCTGTTCACCTTAAGGGACCCGCAAAGTCTTTGTGGAGTGATGGGTGTTCATGTTGATGACAAGAATCTATATATCAAAAAACTGCGGGGCCGTTTCCCGTATGGAAAGTGGCGTGCTCGTAGTGGTGAGTTCTGCGGTGATTGGTATGACCAAAAACCAGATAAATCAATAGTCACGTCCATGAGTGTTTTTGCTGATCGAATCCCGCGACTAAACGTGCCAAAGAACAGCGCGTCGCATCACCCACTGTCTCCTGGCCAAATCAAGGTATTGAGGGCTGTGAACGGAAGTTTGAAGCGGAGGCCTGATCTGAGTGCCCAAACAAGCCGCTCACAGCAATCATTTCCACAGCTGTCGATTGAGGATTGTCGCATGGCCAACCAAGCCATAAAACGTGCTTGTCAACATCGGAACTTGGGCATCACATTCAAGCAAGACTTGTCCAATGTGTGCCATAGCGATGCAGCTTTTGCTAACAGAGAGGCCATCATGCCCAAGCAGGTTGCATCCTTGGCTTCACACGTAAGAACTTGCAGCGGAAGAGAAGCGCCTTGGGCTCCGCTTGCTTGGCAAAGTTACCGTCTTTGGAGAGCGGTAGATAGCATGGTGGGCGCTGAGAGCCAGGCAACGTCAGTCCCGACAGGAACGATCGAATGGGTTCTGTTTCTTTTGGCTGAAATCTGTGATGGAGCACGGCAGATTTGAGCTTGCAGGGACGCCCCAAAAAAGGAGACCTCCGATCATCGTGACTGACTGTATGAGATTGTATGACCGTTTGTCTTCTCCATCATCACCAACGTCAACGAGCATTGAGGCATTGATGTTGTCACCGTTGGGGAAAACTGCTCTCATTCGATGTGCCCCTACCAATCGAATGCTCGCCAACGGTTTAACCGAAGACTCAGACCCTATCGACCTTCTCCGTGCCTGCATCAAAGGAGCCTCCAACCAAATCTTCCATGAAGAAACTTCCGGAGCGAAGCCCAACATGTTCGATATTCGCCGCAGCCCTTTTGCCAAGACCGTCTTGGTGACTGGTCTCCCAAGTTGCCGAGCAAGTGTGGAGAAGTCAGCGTTTGTCACCGGCTGTTGTGGAGCTCCTGCATCGAGTCAAAGATGAGGATTCATTCGCATCCCTCACGCAAGAACTGGATCGAGGAGGACACTCCAACTCATCAGACGCCGGTTGTTCGCGCAACAAAAATAACATGCGCCGACTCTCTGTAGTGGGAGAACGGTCGTTCTGCACGGCGCGTGTGTACGGGCCCGCGGGCTCCAATTTCACGGGCCCGCAGGTCAGTGGGAGCCTCAAGCTTAGGGCAGGGCGCTTCCCTCTTCAAAGTGTTGGTTGAAGATGCAGTGCCTGATGTCTATGGCTGGTGAGTCTTGGTGACGCCGTGCAGAGATGTCTTTGTCCGTGTGCGCTTTGGAGGCTGGGCGCTGGTGCCGCTGGAGGTCAGCTTGCCATACTCCTCGCGCGTGGGTTGGGAGTTGGGGAACTTTCACTGGCTTTGGCCGGGCGCAACTCGTCTGCTACGTTTTGACCGTATCATGGCAACATAATGAGCTTGATTTAAAATGTTAACTGCAGCGCTTCGATCCCATACTTGGACAAAACAATTGCAAGTCAGTCCAAACTATATGGACTTGTTATTGCAACCAGGTCTTCTACTGTTTGGAACCGAGTCTTTGCAAACCAAGCGGGGCCGCAGCAGGACAATGCTCAAAACGAGGAATGTGCCATGTGCATGGAACATTCACGCCCTATTCCAGGTTGGAATCGGTATGGAATCGGTCATGGAAAATGTTGAACTTTGAAAGCCACAGGACCATTTGGCGGGATATCTCTTCTGATGAAGAGTCATCTGTGGAGGACAAACTGTGTCATATTGAAACACTTGAATATTGAAGCGGGATGGCACCTCACCCTGCTTACGTAATCTAAAATCTATGGTTCAGGAAGTCATTTTGACGGACTCGCGGGCAGACTCTACGGGCTTGCGGGCTTACGGGCCCGCGGGGCGCCGCGGGGAACAACCATGGCCGCTACTGGGTGAAGAGCATGGGCCGCACTTTGGTGACTGCAGGAAAATTGGACAAAGAAGACCTTTCCTACAGTGAACTGGCATCATCAAGTGAGACATCCACGGTCAAGCACGTCCAATGGATGATCAATCAGAGTGGCCGCAGTGGTCATGGCAAGCTGTTTCGTTGCCTATGCCTGTGCGAAGGAGTCCGATGGTCCATGCATTCCCGGATCAGTGTGACTCGAAAATACAAGGCATGAGTGACAGCTGCTGATGAGATGGCTACAAGCGAAAACAGTCAGCTGAAAGCAAGCAACATTAGAATGCTATGAGCCTGCCGGAAAGGCAGTTCGATCCAGCATGCTTTGGAATGTTAAAAAGACTTTTACCAGTCTTGATTCCACACATGGCAGCTTCAGGTATCGTTGACCCGACAGGGACTTTCGGCGCGAGCGATAGGAAAGCCCGAGCGTTCCCTTCAGGAGAAGGGGATTCATTCTGCTATATATATATATACTCTTTTGACAGTCGCTGTAGGCGTTATTCACCAGAAGCAGCACCCAAGAATGCATAATGATGGTTTCTCTACTCAATCACTCAATCGACTCAATCACAAAGCACGCACGAAACTTAGCTATATAGGTACATTAAAGGGCAAAAAATAGCGCGCAAAATGTATAAGTGCAATTTTTTCCTGCCGGTGGAGTAAAGCGGATCTTTTCGACCTACTGATGAAGTGACATGCTAATTTCTACGGGTGGTCCAATGAGAAGTTACTGCAGCTGGTAGAAGTGGACACTTCTACTGATGGTCCAGGCAAATGACAATGCTAGGTGAAAAAATTGCTAGTGATGCGTTTGTTTATAACAGCTACTAGCTACTGGTAGTGTATGTTTCAAGCGCTGATGATAGTATGGTAGCAGGCTTGAGTAGGGGCCTTGAGTGGTCGAGTGGATGTTCCAACCGTTGGTGAGGCTATGCTCTGCGAGTGAGGTCCATGGTATCAACGATGATGCATGCCTACGAGCTAGCATGATGTTAGGTTCTCATCCTTTTGAGGTTGTACGATCTGACTGCTAATGACGTGTTATATGGGTACCTTCACCAGTACCAGCGTGTTTTGCCCACTTCAATGGAGGGGCAAATTTTCAAGCCGCGCCAGCGGGCGTAGGGTGGGGGCATAACATGGGAACATCAGCAATTGGGACCCTGGATACATCCCTGCCAAACAAACCTGCCTTTCCTTTTGCATCTCTGAGAACGAGGCTGCGTTCCAAAGGATTCAGCTTGACGGTGAATCGTACTTTCCAGCAGATATGCAGTGCAGTGCTAAAGATGCTGAAAAAGCTTCGGATGCCATTTCAGGTAACAAGTTGACAAATAACCTGGTGACCATGCCACGACAAAGCTATTTGTCTGACAATGCTCCTAGATCTCCTACAAAAGTTATAATAGCTATTGTTCCTTTTGAAGGTGATGATGTCTCCTCCAGCTTGAGATCCAGCAACTTAATGCGGCAGCGACTAAGCACCTGAGCAAATCCTGTACCCGCAACTTGTATGTCTGAAGGTGGAAAAAAGAAAAGAACTGCCCTAGGCATCAACATGTGTGTTTTGTTGGTTCAAGAGATACTCAATGCTTCTAAAAAGGCATAGGTATGCAGGACTGTCGTGCCTCTTCAAATGCGGAGGCATGGGCCCAATTGCTGCGAGTGAAGGGACGAGCATCCTGGAATTTGGCACAGCGTCGAAAGAGATGTGAAAGTCCGTAGAGTTCTCACTGTCCACCCTTATATACTTTGATGGACCCAGAGTGCAGGCTACTTTTCTTGAGGCTTCTAAAGTTACCTTTAAAGCATGAAGCATGTGCACAATTCAAGTTGTTTGTAGGCTCGTGCCAATGAAAAGTCGTGCCAAAATTCTGGTCTGGCAGACTTGGCGCACACCAGGCACTGAACTAAACAGGCCTCTTCTCAGTACCAACTTCAAACCCCATCCATTTCCGACTCTTGTCCTCGATGTTCAGAAGAAACTCTGTCCACCAGTTTAACGCCTGGGCGAACTTGGCCTCACCCACTTGGCTACATGTTTACATGTGTCCTGTGAGAAGAAGTATTGTGCAATTCAGTAATAATGCTTTGTAATCTCCTTGCGAGATTGAACGTATGCCGCATACCCATTGTGCATGTACCAGGTCAGCGATTGAAATTCTCACATGCTCTTGTCTGTTTACCATCTTGCATTGAAGTGGATCAAAAGAGAAATATTGCTGCCTTCCCCAATTGCATAGGATTATGCCTTCCTAACCTGGTTATATAAACCGTGTTGGCAAAGATCTAGAACGAACAGTGAATGTCTTTCTCGTTATTGTCACAGGCAAGTACACTGAGTTGCTCTTAGTTTGAAGTTATTTATGTTCTATGAGGTGCATAACAAAAGCCGGGGTGACAGGCTTCAAATTGATGTTAATGTGGGTTTGTGGGTTGGCCAGACCCTCAACAACCTGATCTAATCCAACAAGCAAAAACGGGAAAACCAGGTGTGGCCACAGCAAAAGCAAGCAGTGCAAATGCGAGATGTCTTTTCTCGCGAGCAGTGCGGTCATCCGGATGCCTACTTGGTGGTTCGTTTTTGGCTAGGGAACTTGTAAGTATCTTGTAA